AAAAAAATGGCATTATGGATAAACAAACTTAGGCCCCAAACCCCAGTTCCAGTCGCTCTGTTTTACACATCCCTGTTTTGTCTGGTGAGTTTTTAGTGCACCTTCATTCTCCGAAATCTGGAAAGCGTGCGAGCCTGTGTATCAGTTTCGGTTTTGGCCGCTTTGTCCAGTAGGTGGGAAAGTAATTTGTAAATTTAATTACTTGTTGAAATGGAAGGCTGCCTCCCTCCCCCTCTATCTATGTTATTTCCCCCGAATAAATGCAAATTAACAAAAAAAATACTGTACTTATAAATTCAAAGTCTCAGTGACTCATATCCAAGGAAGAGATTTGAAAAGTTGCCATAATATTCCCAACTAAACAGAATTTCAGTCCTCCTGGTTTGATGGGGTAAAATTCTTTAAAACGAGTAGGGTTTGCAAGAAAAAGTCAGTATTGTTGAGGTTTATGAACTCAAAACTCTCTCAATGCCAGCTATTTGAAATCCACCCAAATAGCCATGTTGTCTGTCACTAGTACTGTCAGAGTGAAATATAATTTCAGAGATAAAAAAAAACAAAAAAACGAGTAGGGAACAAATAATTTCTTCATAAAGTAGTTCCTAGGTACAGGCGGAAGGATTCATCATATATTTTCTATTAATTTTGCAGATTTAGTGCAACTATTTTCTGAAATATGGCAGTTTTTCGGTTTTCTTATTTTAACAAAAAGCAGTCTTCTATGGTTAAGCAACATTTATCTCAGGATTATTTGTTAATGTTACAGAGATGTTGAAATTCAGTATTTACTCTATTTTAAAACTTACTAACTGTCAGTCAGGTAACCAAAAGATAACTAATATAAAGAAAATAAAATTGATATTCATTGGTAATATTCTTAGAAAACTGAAAATTTTGGTAGAATTTCCTATGGACTGTAAACACTGCTGGGAGCCGAGGTGCATGGAGCCTTCGCTCCTTGCGGCCTTCACAGCTGCAGTCCCAGGAGTCTGGCGTGCGTAGGCGAATCTGGAGCTTCCAGACACCCATCTTCTGGAGTTTTGCCGCTTTTCCTCCTGAAGTCTTAGGTACAGTGCAGAGATGGGGTTTGTGAGGTGCATTGCGCACCTCTGCTGCTCAGCCTTGTAGTATTCGATGTCCTTTAGCCAAAGTGTACCTTTAAATAATGAGTTCGGGGGGTGGGGTGGAGGTGATACCAAGCTGTGTGTTGGTCACTGACGAGGGGAGGGTTTATAAACTTTCACTGAATTATTCTATAATGTGGATATTAATATTGTCCCTACTTTATAGATGAAGAAAAAAAAACTCAGAATGTTGCCTAATTTCTCAAAGTATTAAGCTGAATAGGTCGCAAGCTAGATTTGTCTGCTTCGCATTTCTTCCCGTATCCTGCCACTAGTTTATTCATTGAGGAAACACGCATTGCTACCTTTGTGGCCTGTGGGAGGACCAAGCCACAGTAGCTGTGTGCTGATCAGACAGAGTCACTGCCCTCATGAAACTTGTCCTTGGGGACAGGGAGGTAATAGCTGGGTAAATTCTTGTATCCACAGGGCCGTGACACAGCCCAGCAGACTAAGCTCCTGCTTAGGCAAGCACAAGGACTGGGGTTTGATCCCGTACCGCCTGCGTGCTGGCCGCGCCCTTGGGCACGCTGAGCCTGCGACTGAGTCTGGGCATGGTGGCACGTGCCTGTGATCCCAGCACTGGAGAGGCTGAAAGGGTAGAATCACTACAAGTTCCATGTGCACAGAGACCCTGTACCGCATCCATTACATATATGTGTGTGTGTGCAGTGGCACATAAACATTGCATGGAACATGTTAGCTATAAATACCTTGGAAAGTGGAGAGCAAGGAGATAGCAGTGCTGAAGAGCTCATGTTTGGGAGTATTTGCAGGGAGTGTTGGGTTGGTTTGTTTGTTTGTTTGTTTGTTTTCCGGGGAGGGGCACCGGGGATTGAACTCAGGCCCTTGTACTTGCCAGGGAAGCACTTACTCTACTGAGCCATCTCCCTGGCCCCAAGTGTTGGAGTTTAGAAAGGCTTGTCAGAGAGCATAAAGTTCTAGTGAAAGAGCTGAAGAAAGGAGAGCTAACCCACTTTCGGGAGATTCTCAAGCATTACAGATGCAGAGTAGGCTGGGCGAGGTTGGGACACTTTGCAGGTGAGCAGGAGGCAGCCAGAAGACAGGGCGGAGGAGGCCAGGGAAGGGTGGGTGTGATGGGCCGTGCAGACCACGCTCGGGGCCCCTCCCAGCACCACACGGGCCTTGCTCAGCAGCGTTTCTAATGCTAATCTAAAAGTAGTCCATCAACATTGCCAGTTAAACAGAAGACCCAATGCTATTATGGGCGACTGGACTCTTTTAGAATATTTTGCTGAGTTTACACACCTATAATATTCAAATAACGGAACTTAACAAAAAAGGGGTATACAGATGAATGTCCATTTTGTATCTGTGTATTCAAAGTGGTTAGGATAGATATACAGTTACATTCTGTTAATGAATAGAGTGATTTGTTCTAATGGTGTTTGTAAATAGGATCTCAGGTCCGCATCTTGTACAGCAATTAATCACTAAGAAGAATGTATGCAGTGTGTTGGTTATTGAAACTGTCCTACCGATTTGATTTGAAACTGTCTCATTGCTATCTGTTTATCCATAAAATTATGAAAAAAAAATAAATGGGGGGGGGCTCGCCCATTAGCTCAGTTGTTTAAGTGCCTGCTTAAAGGAGGCAGTCAGTCTCTTTGAGCGGTGGTTCCATTCCCACATACTCAAGGCAACCCAGACCAGCACTGCTGCAGGTCAATGGGGAGCTCCCAAATAAATAAATAAATAAATAAATAAATAAATGTAGTTCCTACAAAGTAGACTGTCTGAAGATTGTACAGTCAGTACCATCTTTTTATCAATGCTTAGGATAGCACTGTGTCTAGGCAATCACCTGAAGGAATAACTTCTCAGGTACTGCCTCTGGCACTGTGGCATGCAAGAAGACCGTTTTGGGGCCCAGAGACCCTCAAATTTTTTGAGACCCTCAAATTTAAAGCACTTGATCCCCCAGTTCCGCAAAAAGAAAAAAAAAGCACTTGATCACTGTGTCTTCTGAGTCATCTTGAATAAATGAATGAGAATAAACAAGAAAAGTTTAAAAGAAAACATAACAAACACTAGCAGTGGCAATTGTCAAAGCATATTATTTGTAAAGTCTAAGGAGCATGATACCAAAGGAAATTAGGCAGATAAGTATGATTAAAGAGGCATTATAGGCCAGGCATGGTGGTGTACTCCTGTAATCCCAAGACTTGGGAGCTAGCGGTAGGAGGATCACTGTGAGTTTGTGGCCATACTGGGCTACATAGTGAGCCAGCTTGAATGACATAGTGAGATGCTATCTCCCACCAAAAATAAATAAATAAATAAATAAATTAGGAGGCACTACATAAGAGAATTTGCTGGTCCGGGGTGATGGCTCAGTAGAATAAGCACCTCCCTGGCAAGTGCAGGGTCCTGAGTTCAATCCCCAGTTCCGCCAAAAAAAAAAGAACACAGGAGAGCTTTATAAGCAATAATAATAATAAAAAAAGATAACTGATCTATTTGGTCGCATAAATATTTAGAGGTTTAGAAGTAACTAAAATTAAAAATAGAAATACACTATTTCATAATATGTGCAGAGCTGGAAGTATAGCTCAGTGTTTCAGCGTTTACCTGCCACGTGCATAGCCCCGAGATGACAAATGTACAAGTGGTAAGAGCACAGAAATGGGCCGAGCATGAAGAGCGACTTCAGAGCTCAGTAAGGAAGCCCATGAGGTGGAACGGTTTTGCAAACTAACTTTCTGTTGTAAATGCGGAAATTGAGGCCCTGATGCTGTGAAATCATTTCTGATTGCTGGAATGTTGCAGGGTTCAGTGAAATAGGCACTCAGTCAGTAAAAGTTTGAATTAGAGTATTGTTTCTACTGTGGACTCATTAATATTTTGTGGAGCCATTCTAGAGAAATCAATAGAAACATAAAAATTTGCAAGCAGTGATTTCACCCTGCATTATTTTAACAAAGAAGTTGGTTTTTGTTTTTGTTTTTGTTTTTGTTTTTTGGTGGTACCAGGGATTGAACTCAGGACCTTGGGCTTGCAAGGCAAGAACTTACTCCACTGAGATATGTCCTAGACCCAGAAGTAGTATTTTGAATGTCACGATGAGCTCAGTTTTGTATGTGTGGAGTAATGTGAGATGCCACTCAGCCATTAAAGATTTGCACAGAGGAGACGCGTATAGATGTGCATAGTGGTACGCATTCACAGACGGAGAAAGACAGGCATCAGTTGCTAGTTAGTGAAGAGTCTGAAAATCAGGTTAGCTGCTGTAGACGTGAGCGGGGAGAAAATTCCACTTGCCCTTTTCTTGTACTTTTAGTAAGTGAAACGAGAAACAGAAGACTTTAGAGAACTGTAGAGTCATTTCAGCCTAATACCTTTCATTTAGTCGACAGTTAGTGAACAGTAACCATGAAAGTGTTGAGCACTTGTCCGTAGCACCGGAGATAGCGTTTTCCTCACGGTTCTCCGAACTCGCTGTCACAGAAGTGTAGCAATGCAGTTGGTCTAGGGTAATTAAAACGCTTTACATTTTGGTAAAATTATAGGAATTTGTTAAGTAATTATTATCTCATCTTTAGATAGATAGATAGGGTCTTTTTTGTTTTTGTTTTTTATGGTAGCAGGGATCAAATGCAGGCCCTTGTGCTTGCCAGGCAAGCCCTTATTCCATGGAGCTATCTCCCTGGCCCCTCCCCCCTTTTATTTCCTTTACTGTATTTCCAAGAAAGCCGCCATATAAATGACATCTTTGTATACTCTGTCTTTCCTGTCTTCATTTGGGATCCGGTTTATAAGAAGAGTACTGGTGTTTCCACTGTTCTCTGGTTGGCAGAAGTCTTGGCCGTCAGGAGGCCTGATGGAAACAGACGCACTTTCATGCAGGCAGGTCCTCTGGGAGTGGGCCTCTGACCTCAGCCATAGGCTGCCGGCGTCCCTGCGTCTTTGAACACTGGAAAGAATACATCTGTCTGAGGTGTTGAGTTATTTTAATTGAGGACGCTGCCCAGGGCAGATGGGCATTCAGGACGTTTGCTGTTTGTCCAGGTGCGCCTCAACAGGTGGTGACGCAGATTATCCGAGGCCAGCCGGTTTCCACTGCAGTGTCTTCCCCGAGCACGGCCTCCTCCACACCTGGGCAGAAGGGCTTCACTTCAGCAGCACCCACTCCAAGTCCGCCGTCCTCAGCCCCACAAGCCCCTCGCCCCCAGCAAGGACAGGTGAAGCTCACCATGGCTCAGCTCACGCAGTTAACACAAGGCCACGTAAGTAGTATGACTTCATTTAACTCAAGAGGCCATTTTATTCTTGATGTAAGTTTTAAAATGTACTTATTTTGTTAGACATAAGATTTTCCTAGTGTGTTTATTTTGGGTGTTTTTTTGGATTTTTTTCTAATGCTGCTGAGGCTCATCCTGGTCTTCATGCATGGTTGACAAGCGCTCTACCCCTGAATTACATCTCCAGCCTATTTTGCTAAGTTTTAAACAGTGTTTATTGGCCAGGTATGGTGGCACATGGCTATAATCCCACACTCTGGGAAGCAGAGGCAGAACATTGTAAATTCAAGCCCAGCCTGGGCAATTTAGCAAGATCCAGTTTCAAAAATTAAAGGGGCCAGGGATGTAGCTTGGAGCAGATACTCTAGATTTAATTTCCAGAGTCAAAAAGGAAGAAAAGTATACTTATTTTAGAAAATGGCTTCCTGGAATCAAGAATAAAATGAATCCCATGTATAGAGTCATTGAGTGGAGTTACACCATTGTACTGTGTAATCCTTTTAACCACCCAAATTGTATTAGTTGGCCAATTTTCATGAGAAAAATAAAATTTGAGTACATTAAGCTGCTTCCTTGAAACATGCAATATTTTTATCAAGTCTTCCACTATTGAGCAATAAATGCAGTTTCCATCAAAATCTTAAAGAGGGGCCGGGGAGATGGCTCAGTGGAATAAGTGCTTCCCTGGCA